ATCCCACCTCCATGCCCCCCATCCCACCTCCATGCCCTCATCCTTCCATCCCTTCATCCTTTGCTCCCACAGCCACACTCTGCTGGTCCAGCTCCCTGAGCCTGGGAAGTGCTGGGTAGGGAACAGTGGCCAGGGATGGAGCTGGGAGGGAGTGTTGGAAGTGGAGTGTTGAAGCAGGACTGTTCTAGGTGGCAAGCAGGATGTCCCTCAGAGTGAGACACTCGAGATGCGTGTGGTGGCATTTTAATGTGCTTTTATCAAAGCAACCACGTCCTTTTTTGTCGTCGTTTTATGTTTGTTTTTAAACCTCCATTGAACTACACAAGCCTTGGTTTTCAAACCCTGATAACAGAGGTTGCTGCCATGTTTGTTGGTGGAAATATTGAAAACTGGACCTGCCATTTTTCTCTCTTTTTTTTTTTTGTTTCCTTTAAACCCTTTGTGCTTCTGTTGGTTGCTCACAGTTATCTTCCAGCTGACAAGCTTTTGCATCCTATTTTTTTGTTTGTTTGTTTTTTTGTTTTTTTTTTTTTTGGTCACAGAACTACACATTTTTGTAACCAGCCTCTTGAAGGTAACATAAGGCAGCTAATTAGTTGGATTTCTGGTAGCACATGCTACCAGATTCGTAATCCTGTTTGGATTTTAGAGAGCTCTTAGATGTGATACACTAATATGATCAGGAAGGACACTTGGCTGAATCCATAGGGAGCCTGAGGATGCTGAGCACAGTGTGGAGCCTCAGCTGGGGAATGGAATATTAATGCAGCAGCCGAGTGATTTGTCTTGTGTGGTTCATAGCCCTGGTTTTTATTGAGGCTGGTAAATTACTTTACCTTGGCTTATAAAAATTTCAAGTTCTCTTAACGTTCTTTACTCTCATGAAACTACTGTTGCCGTTCCAATAAAGATGATCGTTGTTTCGATTGTAAATCTTTCATTTTTGAAGCGGTTCAGGTTTCCAGAGCAGCTTAAGGCTGGAGTGAAGTCCCAATCTTGAAACAGAAGTGAATGTAAAATCTCCTCTTCCCTGATTTCTGGGAGAGCAGAGTCTCTTGCATTCCCTCTGCTCCTAGTCCTGTGCTCCTTGGGGAATATGGGAAAAGAAATGGCCATATTTTAAAAACCATTTTGGGGGGTAGAAAACACTCTTGCAAGTGTTTGGTTCACAGAGTTGTTCCCCTTCAATCCAGACTGTGTTTCAAGCTACTCTTGCCCATTGGGTTTTTAGGGGTTGTTTTTGGTATTAAAATGTGCAAGGATTATTCCAGTTCATCTGGTCAAACAGCTGGTTCTTCACCTGCTGGACCAGATCTTTTCTGAAGAGTATATTTTGTAAGTTCCACTTAAAATACATATTTTTTGGGGTCCTTTTTTTTTCCCCCAACACGGTTAAGAAAAGTCAAGGCTGTGAAAAAATCTGTTTCTGTTGTTCTCAGCTCAGGTTTTGGGACTGGATTGTTTTATGCCTGGCAAGTTTGACCCTTTATCTCACAGAACTGTTCTTGTTTTTTTGTTTTCCTCCCACGTTCATTCCTCGTGGCCGTTCCACGATGCTTATTTTCTGAGTTTGTCCCTTCCCAAACACTCTGTAAATCCCGTGCTTTGGGGATTTGGGGACTTTTTCTAAATCTTCCTGTCTTGCTGATTTATGCAAACACTAAGCCCTGATGGTCTCGGCTACTCTGTTAGCAGTGCAGCAGTTTACATTCAGATTTTTATAATTTTAATTATTTTTAGCACACCCCATTTTTCAGCAGCAGCAGCAGCAGCTTCACATTTTTCGGTGTCCTTTCTTCATTAATTTGTGTTAAGCATTCTGATTTCTTGAAGGAAAGCTGTGCAAATGCCTTTCTTTGGGAGCATGAATGGTTCTTCATGGAGCAGAAAGTTTTGTTCACAGAAGGCTTTGAAAATCTTGTTCCATTGCTGTAGTTTTGGAGCCTCTGCAGAGAGGTAAATGGATTTATTCCTAAGTTTTAGTCTCGAGTTCTGCCCTGATCTTACCATTAAAAAATAGTAGTTTATAACTTGTATTATATGTTCTTTTGGAGATTCTAAATCCACACCACCACGCTGAGTTTTGCAGTTTATGCCAATAGTCCTGCCTTGAACAAGGTTTGATCAGTCCTAATTGGCAGTTTGGGTTGGAATTTTATATTAAAGGTGATTTACTTCAGTTTCTGGTCAGCATGGGAATGCCAACCATACTGAGCTAAATGGGTTTCTGAGTGGACTGTGGGGGAGAACCTGTCAAAAACAGGGCAGCTGAGAAGCTTTTAATTTGGTTTTAACTTCATCAAAGCAGAAGAGTGAGGGGAGAGAAGCAGCAGCACACCTTGGGTGACTCACCAGTGCCAGGTAATGGTTCTGAGCCTGCTCAGCTCCTGTGCCAGCACAGGAGGTGATGGACAACCAGGGATAGTGGCAGAAGATGTGCTGGAATTCCTGGTTTTTTCCTTTTTTTCCTTTTTTTTTTCTCCTTTTTTTCTTTTTTTTTTTTTTTCCCTCCACTGGTGATGGTCACAAAGGTACAATAGACACTGAGGCACCCAGGTTTGAGGAGGGAGGGAAGCAAAACTGTAACATGCTGGAAGCTTTTGAGCTGTAGAAACTGGTGCTTTGCTTTATGTAATTTTGTCTGTGAAGTGTTTATTTTTATAACAGATCATATTGTTGAACACATGGTTCTTCAAATCTTACAAACTGATCTCCGTGAGTTTAATATTTGGTTTGGGAAGTGGACGTTCATCTGTTGGGGGGAGGCAGGATGTGAGAATGAAGCAGATGGATATTTAAAGGGACACTGTCACCAGGTAGTTGCTGGCATAGAGGAGATGTTAGTTTGGGGGGGGGTCACACCTATATGTGGAAATTATATATTCTATATGTATATGATCAAATAGAAAAACGTTCCCCGAGCTTTCGAGTATTTTCCTACAGTTTTGGGAGGTTCAAATATAAGTTCTGATCAAATAGGAAGCAACACTAACTGTCCTGTTCTTGCTGTCCAAGGTGACTTTTTGTCTCTTAAGTGCTCTGAGGAGCATCAGAGCTCCGGGAGCCGACAGTGTCCTCTCGAGGCCTCCCCAAAAATCAAGTTTCAGACTCCCCACTCCAGTAGCTGACTGGCATTTGAATGTCTTTTCGTTGAACTCTTTCTACTAAAATCAAACCACGACTCAGATTTCTAAGTCTAAGTCAAGTCCTGCCACGTGCTGGCTCTGTGTGAACCACTGTTGGCCCCGACTCAGCCTTCCTGCCCCTGCAGCCGGCCCAGCATGCTCAGTGTGACTGCAAACCACCCTTGTGCATAATGCTTTGTATATTGGGGGCGAGGGGGTTTTTTATATA